TGATAATGGCACACCCGTGATGTTTGCTTTTGTTGACAGCACTATGATAAGGATGAGGCAGAATTTGAAGAAAAAATGTAAGGACATTGCATAACTTAACTTATATTATATATCTACTGTTATATATCTGTCGAGAACACAGATTACATCCAAATACACCTAATGAACAGCTTCCACCAAGCTGTGCAAACAAAATCCATCAACTCATGCATCAACAGTTTAAGCTAGCAACACCCGACACCCAAGATAATTGAACCATAGCATCAGACCCACATACATTCACCGTCCACATGACTATGACTCAGATTATGTTTAAGCAACCTGTACGATTTAAATATACCTAACATAATTGTCATAATGTATAAAATTATCACAGGTTTTTAATTTATTGTTTTCATCGTCACCATCGTTATAAATTAATAGGAATTACCCGATAATGCATATAGATGAGTCAAGTACTTATCTACCTCAAGACTTAGTTATCAATGGATCAAGTCATAGGGCATTGTAAGCGCCGTACGTGAGGAAAGTTATATTTTTCTATTTATAATGAAGACAACATATTTCAAACCATTTTAATTAAGTTTTAGCATATTGTTTATGTAACACCGTCTATTTTTAATATGATTAAAATGTTGTCATTTTGTTATTGATGTTTTTTTAGAGTTTTAAGGGTTTAAAAATTTAAAAGTTAAGTTATCTATGAAATAATTGAATTAAAGTTAAGTTGGTTTAACTTAAAGAAGAGTATATAGAATTTTTTTTAAAACGTGAACTTCATAATTTCATATTTTAAAAAAATTTGGAGAAAAGTTAGAGGAAAATTTTCTGGAACCCAAATCTTCTTCTCCCTCCTTTATACTGAAAATCTTCTCTTCTCCCATCCTTATAGTTGATCCAAGGTGATTGTTGGAGATCTGAACTCCCAAAGTAGGAACCTCAAGGTGAAGTGTACGAATTTCTTCCTTCTCCTTCTCTTCTTCTTGGTTGATTGACTAGAGGTAAGTTAAGTTTGTGCAATAAGTGTTATTTGATCAATAAAGTGTTGCCTTGCTGCTTGGATTCATAAGTTGCATGTTGACTTGAGTGATTTGGGTGATGCTTACATTTTGATGGTTGCATGTGTTATTTTAGGTTTGTCTTGGTGTTGTCTATGTGGTATATATTTCATATGTTGGATAGCATGTTGGGTTCTTATTGTATTTGAACTGGGTTGAGCTAAATTAAGTTTTGCCAAGTGTAGAACTCATCATCACATTGGGCGCACATTCATGGTGCCAAATGTGACTTGAATCAAAGGTTTTTTTGTTTCACTTGTGTCGGGTGTAGGACTGGTGGCATTGAGCATGAAGAGAAAAAACTTCCTCTAACTTGATTATGTCAAACATGAAAAGAGAGAATAGTCTCCATCTGAATTGACATTAGGTGCTAATGGAGTGACACTAGGCGTTAGGCATACACCCTTTGCTTGATTGGGATCGAGTGTGAATTTTGCCACATCAAGCATGGTAAAGTGGGAGGTTCTCTTCCCAATCCACGCTGGGGGCGTGGGGAGTTTGATGATCGTTGTGTGTGAGATAGGAATCCCTTGTCTCAATAACGCCGAACACTTAGGGGATGATGTTGGGTGTGAGTTGTATGTTTCTAAGGTGGTGTTTTAAGTTGTTTTAAAATTGAAGGATGATAATTTGTTACATGATGAATGTTGTATTAAGATAGTTCATTATGCATTGAGTTGAGATAATGTATAGTGATATTTATTTGTTAAGTTGTGAGTTGAAGGATGAAAAAGTTGTATGATGTCATAGTTGATTAAGTTGTTAAGCTGTTAGACATGTGGTGAAGATACATGTTTCAGTTGAGATACATAAAACTATAGGAGAATAAAGTTATTTTTGAAAATTTAAAATATCTCATTGTATGGATATAAGTTGTGGTGCTTCAAGAGTCCAAATTGAATGTCCTTAGTAAGTAAGTTGACTTTTGAATGAGTAGTTGTTTTAAGTTTTCTCCTTTAGATTTTATGTGGTATCCGTATGAGAGATAAGTCAAGTCATACATGTATAAAGTAACCAATTGAGTAAGGTACAAGGTCAGGTACTTAATCCCTAATTAAGTATTAGAAAGACGTAATATTTGGAGGGTAATCGGTGGGCTAATCCCATAGAAAGCTTAGTGTTGCAAGCTAATGTCGTAATAGGTTTATACCTAAGTTATTTTACTCTAACAAGAATACTAGACTTCCTAGTTTAATTAAGTGGTAAAAATTGATAAATCAATTTAAGTTGTATACCTAGCACTTTATGAGGTCTAATGTTTTTTATACTTAACCTAGTTGTGATAGGTTAGACACTATAATTCGATAGGATCTAACTACTTAAATTGATTATCTCTATTATAGGAGATCTCTGTAATTGATATGTGTGACGATTCATTAGTTGATTATGTTGAGAATGTTGTTATACTGAAGTTCTTAAATCGTGTTGTGTTGTAAGTTGTAGTTGGTGATAAAATAAAGTTGCATTGAGAGATAATTGTTGTTGTTTAAGTTGCGTATGTTGTAACTTATGTATATTGTTGTATGTTGAATTCTTTTTACAAGCTTAGCTTTTTCTTGTGGTTAGAAATGCAATGTTCATACTTGATATGTGAGTAAGACATGATTAATAGGTTTTCTTGGTTGGCTAGTGGAGAGTCATGTTGGTGATGACTCATTTTGTTCATGCTACTCTGATGTAGTATGATCGTTGTATAAACGCTTAATCGATGATCTGGAATTGTCTTGTTTACAATGATTTAATTTTGTGTAAATTGTATATATGTATACATGATATATCTATTGTTGCGGGTTGCATCAATTGTCTTGTGGCGGAGGCTAGGTGGGTCAAGTCACTGTCGAATCATGGCGCTTGGGCTGCTACGCTCTTAAGTAGAAAGAGTTGCGCCCTGACTATAAGCTATAGCTTTTGGCCTAGTGGTAAGCGTCCGATCCAACAATTGGTATCAGAGCCAAGGTCATGAGTTCGATACCCAGCGGGGCAATTGCTGAGGGGGAGATTGTTGCTACGCTCTTAAGTAGAAAGAGTTGTGCCCTGACTATAAGCTATAGCTTTTAGCCTAGTAATAAGTGCTCGATCCAACATATATATATATGTAACCCCATTGAGAGATATTATGTTTTCCAATTGGTACCTAAAAAATGTTTTTAAATTTTTTATCCTATACATATATCTATTACATGAATAATCAAATATTTATTACATGATAATCTTAAAATAATTAGTTATTATTTAATCTTTTCACTACATAATAACTAAACTATAATAAATATAATAACCTAACAAGCTATTAGAATTTGTACAATCCAAATTTGGATGTCTTAAAGCCTAAAAGTTATACATGAATTCATTTGTTCATCACGATCATCTATTCATGTATAATTCAGTACGATTCATCAAGTTGTTTCAAAATACAATACTTAAATCGTATCGGATAAATTACATAGTTAAATAAATGAATAATAATCCATATTGTCTTTGTTTCAAATTTAAAAAGAACCATTTAATTAATACTTTATGAACCAAAATTAGTCTAAATTATTTTTTGTATTCATTTTTTAAACTTATTTAGAAGTTCTGGAATAGCTTCTTATTAATTTTATAACTTATTAGAATAGTTTAAAACTTTAAAAATAACTATTTTTAGAAATTATCTTAAAATATAATAAAACAAGTAATCATTCTTTAAGTAATTAAACAAAAAAATATTTTTTAAAAAAAATATTTTTTGTAGACAAATGAGAGAAAGTATTTTGAAATAATCATAAAAATATTTAGTTTTTAAAAATAATTTTGATGGATGACTTAATATTAATGGACGAATTGGATAAAGTTAATTAAAAATATAATTTTTTTAATAAACTTTTAAAGGATTGTATATGGATGGGTAAATACTTTTTAATCTGTACCGGAAGGATCCTATCGGCCACGTGGATCAGCCACGTGGACCGGCACGTCATGTCCTATCAGATGTTGACGCAGCTCAGGTAACATTTCAGCTCGGCCACGTGGACCGGCATGTCATGTACTATCAGATGATACTGCTCGAATACCACTTCGGTCCGATAGGAGACTAAGAACTATGCTCTTCCCCTATTCGCTCGGCCAGAAGCCGAGAGAGGATGTTTCGGCCGTGTTGTCTCGGCTCGGCCAAAAGTCAGCATCGAATAATTAGAACGACGATTATGATTAGCAAGGATAAGTACATGATTAAGACATAATCAGCCGATTAACATCGTATTACCTAATTTGGTAAATGTCAGAGAAGGCCCACCATGCTCAGGCCCATGTCAGGTATTATAAATAGGTCACACGTAACGAGGTATGTCACTGTTCATTTTTACCCTAGAAAATCGTGCTTGTCCTGACTTGAGCGTCGGAGTGCCTTTTACAGGTACCTTCCCCCTCTGAAGAATCCACCTGAAGCTCTCGTTCGGCCCTCCTACACCCCAGAAGACTACGAGTGTACCCTCAGACAGGTACATTTTGGCGCCCACCGTGGGGCCGAACCGAAAGCTTTGCAGAAACAAATTGAACGTAACGTGGAAAAGAATCATGGTAAAGACAAGGAATACTAATTTCGAAGGGCACCAGTCTGAAGAGGAGCACCAGTCTGGGGCCGAGACGGTTGAGGAGACAAACTTGACCGATATGGTACGCCAGATGAAGGAAGAAATGATCGCCATGAAACAGCAGCGAGAGAGAGATGCCGCCGAGATGGCCGCATAGAGAGAAGAGAATGCTGCTCAGAAAAACCAGTACCGCGATCCCACATGGAAACCATCTGAGACGACCCACACTCAGGGGGCGTTCCACTCGCTCGGCCATCACACCTCTATCCCCCACACCTCTGTTGCTGCCCCAACGGCCCATGCTTCGGGCAGCCGACCGATACAACCATTGCCGGCCGGAGCACATCGACATCCTTTTACCTCAAGTGTTATGCATACGACACTCCTTGACCATTGGAAGTCATTACCACTCGATAAGTATGATGGTTCAACCGACCCTGACGAGCATGTCGACATCTTCTTGACTCAGGTCACTCTCAGCACTACTGACGATGCTGCATTATGCCGAATCTTCCCAACTTCGTTGAAGGGTCGGGCATTGAGCTGGTTCACACGACAGCCGGCCAACTCAGTCGACTCCTTCAATACATTGGCATCTCAATTCCCCATTCAGTCCGCCACCAGCAGACCTCATCAACTGACCTCGCCCTCGTTGGTAAGCATAAGACAAGAAAAGAAGGAATCCCTTCGGCCCTTCAGGAGCCGATTCAATAAAGCGGCTTTGGAGATTCGAGACCTCAACCCTACTCTAGCTCTGCACCACCTTACCACCGCCTTGAAATTGAGACCTTTCGCCAACAGCATCTGTAAGAAACCCCCAACTGATATGGATGATTTGCGTCAGCGCGCCAACAAATACATGCAAATGGAGGAATTAGCTGAGTTCCGTAATCAAGCAAGGGCAGAGATAGCTGCTAAAGCTGATAAGCCAGTGTTAAGTCTCAATTTTCCCTGGACTCCGAAGACAGACGTCGCTATGGAGCTCGAGCATGACTGTTGAGGAGTTTTTCAAGGAGGACCCGACCTTCGTTGCCGATAAGGCGATGATAGAGAAGGTCGGTCCAGTGGAAGGCCTAGACTCTACGGAGGTCTTTATGCAGAGGTCCATCGCTATAGTGGACCACTGGAGGCACAAGTGGCCAAAGCTTCAGGGCGAGCTGGAGAAGGCCAAGAAGAGTGAAGCTGAATTCGAGGCCCTAAGGAAGGATTTCTTGAAGACGCAGAAGTCTTTGGAGGTTGCTCTGAAGGCTAATGAAGCGTATGCCGCCCAAGTTGGCGACCTACAAGGGGTCGCCAGGTCTTGTAGGGGGGAGGCAGAAGCTGCTCGGGGTCGGGCGCGCTCGCTGGATGAGGAGAACAAGGTGATGAAGGCTGAGTTAAGTGAGGCTGCCGAGAAGCGTTTGTGTGACGAGGTGCTTCTCATTGGCCGGGAGGAGGAGGTTGCTTCATTGAAGACTGACGTTGACGAGTTGGTCTCTTCGAAGAAGGATTTGGAGGAAAAACTCTTGGAGACCGAGCGCAAACTCCTCGAGACCAAGCGTGTTGTCGTGGTTGAGCACAAGAGGGGGTTTGTCAAGGCAGTTCGCCAGGCTAGGCTGCTTGCGCCAGGGGTCGACCTCTCTACTATGCACATAGAGAAGGATGTGCGGGGTGGGCAGCTAGTGAATGAGGATGACTTGTCCGAGAGCACAAGTGATAACACTGCCTCCTAGGCCTCTTCCTTTGGTTTTCCCGTATTTATTTTGCAATTTTTGTGTATGAACTCTCTTGTTGAACTTCACCTGTGTTTGCACTTATTTAGCGCTGATTATTTTGCTATTGATTTTGCACTTTTTAATGTTTCTTGTTTTGACTCGAATCCGTTTTAAGGCTCAAATTTGACCTTTGATTTTATTTTGAGGCTCAAACTTGGCCTGTGAAGGTTCAAACTTGACCTTTGATTTTCTGAGGTTCGAACTCGACCCTTAATATAATATGCGCAAAGTTCTGAATATGTGACCTTGGTTTAAAATGAATCGTGCCAAGGTTCGAATTCGACCTTGGCTTGGTATAATTCGTGTCAAGGTTCAAATTCGACCTTGACTTAACATAATTCGTGCCAAGGTTTGAATTCGACCTCGCCTTAACATAATTCGTGCCAAGGTTCGAATTCGACCTTGGCTTAACATAATTCATGCTAAGGTTCGAATTCGACCTTGGCTTAACATAATTCGTGTCAAGGTTCGAATTCGACCTTGGCTTAATATAATTTGAGCCAAGGTTCGAATTCGACCTTGGCTTAACATAATTCATATCATAACGACGAAAAAATTGAGGGGATATGAGTAAAATGAGTTATTTTTACTAATGTTGTGGGTGTGCCTCGTTAAAAACCCTCTCAGCTAAAACCCATTTTTTTTGGGACAAAAAGACTAAGTAGGGAAAAGAGTGCGCAACCCGTTTGTACAATTCAGCTGAAGTAAAACTTGAGATGAGTGGCATTCCAAGTTCGCGGGATGGTCTTGCCGCTGAGCTCTTCTAGTCGGTATGTCCCGTTTTCTAAGTCTTCTATAACTCGGAATGGGCCATCCCAATTAGGTGCGAGTTTCCCTTTTGATGGGTCTCTTCTTGCTTCGCCTTGTAGTCTTCATACCAGGTCGCCTACTCAGAAAGAGCGAGGTCGGACTCGTGTGTTGTACCTTCTGAAGGCTCGAAGTTTGCAAGCTTCTTCGTGAATCTGAGCCTCCTCTTTGAGTTTGTCTATTAGGTTAAGGTTAACTGCCATTTCTTGAGCGTTTTGTTCACTATCAAAGGTGTGCCGCTGATGAGATGCCTCGCCGACCTCTATTGGAATCATGGCGTCGACTCCGTAAGTTAGCCTGTAAGGAGTTTCTTGAGTCGTGGACTAGGGGGTGCAATGATATGCCTAGAGAATGCTGGGGAGCTCATCAACCCACTGTCCCTTGGCGCTTCCTAGTCATTTTCTGAGTTCCCGGAGAATGACCTTATTTGCAGCTTCAGTTTGGCCGTTGGTTTGGGGATGTTCCACCGAGGTGGGGAGATGCTTGACACCGAGTTCTCGGATGAAGCCTTCGAAGCTCTGTGCGATGAAATGCCTGCCATTATCGGTGATGAGGGAATGTGAGATACCGAACCTGCAAATAATATTCTTCCAGGTGAACTTCTGCACATTCTCAATGGTGATTTTTGCAAGTGTACATGTCTCAATCCATTTGGTGAAGTAGTCGACTGCCACAAAGAGGAATTTGAGTTGACCTTTCGCGGGGAAAATGGTTCGAGGATGTCCATTCCCCACTGGGCAAAGGGCCACGGTGACATCATTTTGTGGAGGACTTCAGGCGGTTGCCGATGTGTGTTGTCAAACTATTGACATTCTTTGCACCTTTGCACATAATCTTGGCAATCTGACTTCAGTGTGGGCCAGTAGTATCTAGCCCGGAGCACCCTGGTCGCCATCGAGCATGCCCCGAAGTGCATACGGCATATTCCTCAGTGGATCTCCTCGACGACGTAGATGGCTTGGGACTTTGCTAGGCATTTCAACAGGGGAGTCGAGATACCGCGTTTGAACAGCTCGTCTCTGATGATGACAAACTTGGATGTCCTTACCCTCATCTTCCGAGCTTCATCTTTGTCTTCGGGTAGAGTTCCCTCCTTTAAATAGCTCCATATACTCATCATCCATCCTTGATCTTCATTATCATTGGTGTTGACAACTTTATCGTCTAGACTGGGAGAATTTAGAGTCTCTTGGTTGATGGTCTGATGTTGCCCGAGGCATTTTGTACTGACGAGCTTGGACAGAAGATCGGCTCTGACATTCTGCTCGGGGCACATGGTGTATGGTGAATTCATCAAAGGATGAGATCCGTTGGGATGCTGCCTGAAAGTACCTCTATAGTAGGGTGTCCTTGGTCTGGTATGCCCCACTAATTTGTTCTACCATGAGTTTTGAGTCACTGTTGCAACTCACCCTTTGCGCTTCGAGGTCGCGAACCAACCTCAGACCTGCTAGTAATGCTTCGTACTCTGCTTGGTTATTAGTGACTCTGAACCCGAATTTAAGAGATTGCTCTATGGTGACTTTGTTCGTGTCCTTCCAAAATAATACTTGCACCACCGCCTTTAGTGTTGGAAGATCCATCAACATGTAAAGTCCATACCTAATTTTTTTCTGCAGAGGTTGGGGTGAGTTTGGCCACAAAGTCGGCTAGGCATTGAGCCTTCAAGGGGCCTCGACTTTCATATCAAATGCTGAACTCGAATAGCTCTACGGACCACGCGATCATGCGCCCTGCAAGTTCTGGCTTTCTCAGTATTTGTTTGATTGGGTAGTCCATTTTGACGACTATTTGGTGGCTTTGAAAATAGGGCCGGAGGCGTCGGGCCGAGGTGACCAATGCTAAGGCCAACTTCTCAATCGTTTGGTATCATTTCTCTGTATCTTGAAGAACTCGGTTGATATAGTATATAGGGGTTTGGTTCTTGTCGCGCTCCTGCACCATCACCGCACTGATTGCACTCTCGCTGACTGCCAAGTACAGGAGGAGGTCGAAATGATGATCTGGGTTATGCATCTGTATGATGGCCTTGCATTTTTTTGGGTTGGCTTCAATACCCCTATGGGTGATCATGAAACCGAGGAACTTGCCCCCCTGGACTCCGAAGACAGACTTTTCAGGGTTCAAGCGCATGTTGTGCTTCAATTGTGATTGGAAATTCATCTGAGGTTCATGCTTGCGAAACATACTGATTACACGGATTTAAACAAGGCCTACCCCAAGGATGCTTACCCATTGCCAAACATAGACCGATTGGTGGATGGTGCGGCTGGTCATAAGTTCCTGACATTCCGCGAGGCATGCTCGGGATACAATCAAATTCGAAGGTCCCCCCGAGACGAAGACAAAACGACATTTGTTACAGAATCTGCCAATTACTGCTACCAAGTAATGTCATTCGGCCTGAAGAATGCTGGAGCCACATATCAAAGGCTCATGGACAAGATCTTCGGCGATCAAATCGGGAGAAATATGGAAGTTTACGTGGATGATATGGTTGTCAAATCGGCCAACACACCTGCCCATGTAACCGATCTCGCCGAAGTCTTCCGGGCCCTCAAGAAACATCAGATGAGACTTAATCCCGATAAGTGTGTATTCGGCGTCTCAGGCGGCAAGTTTTTAGGTTTCATGTTGTCAAGGCGGGGCATCGAAGCTAACACGCACAAACGCCAAGCCATCATCGGCATGAGGAGTCCATCAAACTTGAAAGAGGTCCAAAAGTTAACTGGTCGACTAACAGTTTTGTCTCGTTTCCTACCATGTATGGCCGAGACTTCCAAGCCGATCCTTGGCCTTTTGAAAAAGGCAAACAGGTTTCAATGGACGGAAGAATGCGAAATAACTTTTCAACTTTTTAAGAAATGCCTCGGCACTCCCCCGGTATTGACCAAGCCAACATCCAGCCAAGAACTAATCTTGTACTTGGCGGTTTCGGGCGAAGCCATAAGCGCCGTTTTGATACAGGAACATGGCGGCCAACAGCAACCGATATATTTCATTAGCCGAGTGTTGCAAGATGCCGAATGGCGATACCAACTGCTAGAGAAGGTAGCGTTGGCACTCATGTATGCGGCTAGGCGTCTCCATCAGTACTTTCAGAGTCACACCGTCGTGGTCTGAACAGATTGTCCGATTGCCAAAGTACTGCGAAAACCGGAATTAGCCGGCCGAATGATGGCATGGTCAGTTGAGCTCTTTGAGTTTGATATCTGTTTCGAGCCTCGAGGGGCCATCAAAGCACAAAGCTTAGCCGAGTTCGTTAATGAATTATCCCCACTCGGCCAGTTTGAAGATACCGCTTGGACTATGCATGTGGATGGGTCGTCTAATCAACATGGAAGTGGTGCCGGCATAATCTTGGAAAGCCCATCCGGAATTACCCTCGAACACTCGTTGCGATTCGGCTTCAAGACCTCTAATACCAAGCAGAATATGA